AAGCAGAGCTCTGTAGTTTTATGCAAACAATTCTGAACCAGGAAGTTTTAGTAAAAGTTTTTCTGGTCACAGACATTTTACAGCCGCAGGTTTGGTGCATCAGATCGAACGTGTGGGAGCAGAACAAACTACAGGACGGTGTTCTCTATGAGAAAAAACATCTGACCCAGTGAAAATGGTTTTCATCATTGATGTTCTTAATTGTTTTTAAAGCACAGAGGAAAACTTTCTGTCAGCAGCTGGTGTTTTGCTCTTTTCACTGAATTTGCTGACAATTAGAAAAAATACAGAATATCACCTCACATCCTTGAAGTGTTCCTGTTTTGCATATTTGGCTTCCATCCCTGCAGTTGAGCAGCTTCCTCTCCGACATGTCCAGCATCCGAGGCGTGGCCAACAGGAGGGGCATCGCGGTGTGCAGCGTGGCACCCAATCTCCCCTTGGCATCGGCGTGCCACTCCGAGCTCAGTCCGGCCCACAAAGTGTCCTGGGAGGGCGAGGGCGAAACGAGGGGCGAAGGGCCGGAGAGGGTGAGAGATGAGAGAGAGGAGGAATGGGGGCAGAGGGCTTTTGAGCTGGAGAGAACACAGAGAGATAACAGTCCACAGGGTAAGACTGCATCCACACACACACACACACACACACACACACACACACACACACACAGTTTCTAACCTCTGATCAAACAGGCACAGATTACACACAGGCCATGAACTCATTGTGTTCCACCCAAACCATCATCTCAACGAGGAGAGCTTATTTCACACTGATCTCTGCCTTTTGATCACACACATCAAAGAAAATGGCCCAGAGTAAGTAAGAGTGGTAAAGAAGTCGTATTTTTATTTTGCTATCATTTCATTTTACTATTTACTTCCTGGGAGCAAATACATTATAATACGACTTGCTTTTCTGTTACGCTGCTGAAACTGCCGATGACGTCTCCTCCCGTATCACGAGAGCTCTCTTACGTGTCTGGTGCACTTCAGTGTGAATGCTCAGGGTTATCAGCCAGAACTCCTGTCCTCTGTTCTTATCCTGTGTTCATTCAAAGACGAAAAAACAAAAAGATGAAGGTTTCATGAAAAGGAAGGAAGCTGACGAGACCTCTACTCAAACAGAGTCTGTTTGCGTCAGTGGCAGCTTTAGACAAATGAGAGGACATTGAACTGACGGTGCAGCGGTGAGCGTTGTCTGATAATTCGACGTCAGTCTGGATGTTTCCAGCGGCACAGTTCACGGGTTGTTCTCTGTCAATGAAATAGCTACGTTGCATCTCAGTGTTGAGGCAGACGTCACGTGTTTCGATTCTCTGTCCAACTTGTTGTTTGAAGAATTCAGCCCGTGGTGGGAACTTCCTGCCTGTTAATTATTGATTCCGTCCTGTGGGAATGGGAAATAGGATTTTTGCTGTCCTGCTGAGTGTATGCACAAAAACAGAAAAGCACGCTTCCCTAAGGTTTATTACATTACAATCCATTAATTATCGTGCCATTAATCTCATGCTAATGTCCTGATTATTATGTTAATGTCTGATTACAGTGTTAACCGCCGGTTTAATTATTCAATTGGAAACAGATTAGTTGTTTATTTGCACCACGGCAACCAATAACAAGACTAATAATGAATATTGCAATGAATGGGCAGAAGTCAATACGTGAGATACTAACTAACAAGGGGGCCTATTTCTGTCACTACCTGCTGCACCATCAATAAATAAAGAGTTGTGAATAATTAAATACTTTATGAACAAATCAGGTCCCACATGATCGCTCAGGTTTTGGTGATTGTGCTCTCAAAAAATAGTAAGTTGTAAAATAAGTGTTTTTGATCTTGAAGATTATTTGCAGAGGAATTTTAGTTTTAAATGAAGATAAAATGACATAAGCTGCTTTCAGACATGCACTGAGAGAGAGGGTGGCTGCTCTGGACACTCTCCAGAACTTTCCCTGCCAGCCCCCTAGTGTCCGAGCGAGTCGATGTGAGAATACAGCAGGAAAATGTCGAGTGAGTGGGCGTGTCGACGATGTTTCCAGAGGATGCAGAAGAGGTCGTCAACTTGGAACAAGATTCAAGTGCTCTTGGCGATAAGAGTCGACGCCAGTGTCTATGTGTTGTAAACAAAAACACACGCTCTCCGCAGAATCTGTGTGTCACTTCCTGCCCTCTGCATGATCCAACACTGACACCAACCCCTCGTCCCAATGTTGCAGATATTTCCCTGTTGTGAACGTTTCTGACCCAGATGATCTCCTGCTGCGTTTGTTCATACGCCACTGACAAGCTCGTAAAATGTCCGATTCAAATTTTCCAGACATTTTCTGGAGTTCTTGTCTGAAAACTGCTTTTTGTCAGTTGAGCACCTACTTCCGCCACGGCCCAAGATTCAATCAGGCTGCACCAAATCGCACACAGTCATAGATATATAAGTGATTCAATAAATCCTGGATCTGCCCCCCTGGTCAAATCCGATCTGAGAAAATATGATATGCAAAGTGCGAGATGTTTTGGAGCTGTTAGAGGTTATAGGATCAATTTCCAATGAATAAATTGTAAATTGTCTTGAGTGGAAACATTTGAAAAATAATAAGCAAAGTGAAAGAAGCCAAAGCAGTTGTCACTTTATTTTATCCTGTTGTATTAAAGCTCCGTTCAACGCAACAGAAGTGAGAATGTTTGGTGCCAGGATGAGAATATGGCTTGGCAGAGCGTTAGTAGGAGGATTAGAGCAGGGGTCGGGTCCGTCACCTCGGGCACAGCTGCCAACGCTGGCACACGGCGGGACAGACGCTGGCAGAATAACAAGTGAATGTGTGAGGAAAGAAAATATATAGAGAATAAAGAAAGATTTAAAAAATATCTTTGCATTTTTTTAAACTCTGTCATGTCGACTGCATGCTGAATAAGAGCAGTTTTTCTGCCTCTCTTATTTCGTTTGATTGACGCCGCCGCCTTCCTGCTCACTCTCCCTCAGGAGCTTTTCACTTGTTTCTGCACACAGCGGACCATGACCACCTAGCCCGGGCTGAGAAAGCTGGAGTTGATGTACAGACATCGTGGCCCTCATGGACAGAGTGTGGTTTTGGTTCAAACCCCAACTGCTCACTGAATGTCCGGTATATAAATCATCACTTTAAAACTGAAATGTTCAAAGATGTGACACACAAAAGAGTCTAAAGACACTCCGGTTATTAGAAGAAAGCTGCAATCTTAAAACAAACCTTGCTACACTGGCAATGGATTGTTTAGCAAAACAAGAAAAGCTTTTTACTAGCGGTAAACATACAGGTGCTGTTGAAAGAGGCGAAAAACAAAGCAGCTCAAGATCAAGCTGCACAGAATTTTTGGAAACAGCAGAAAACAAAGGTTTGATTTTCCTCTGCCGAGGAGGTTATTCTTTCTCTCCTGTCGGTTTGTTTGTTTGCTTGTTTGATTTCAGCAAAGTTAGTGGAATGACGGGATGTGGGCTAAGAAAGAACCCATTCCATTCTGGTGCAATTGGGAAAAACGTGGATGATGCCTGACTGACCTTCTACATCTACGTTCATTATCCAATAATGATAAAAAATAAATGCTGTTGAGCTGCAAAAATATCAAAAGAAAAAGTTTTAAAAGTTTCCAGTGGTGAACGAGAGAGAAAATGAATTTATGCAGGACTTTGAAAGACTTGCATGAGTCAAAATCAATCTGTCAAGATCTGATCAAGGGTTCAATTCAGCGTATTTGAAAGAAACAGGAATATTTCATGGATCTTGATGAAAAAATCTGTGGGCGTGCAATATGGTGCGGATCCAAATAAAAATCCAAATCCAGTGTCTTTAAACGTGGTGTTGATCCGGAGCATTTAATGCCAATCTAAAGAATCCGTCAGCTTTACACATTAAAGATACTTAAAGTTGAACTAGTTTCATCTGACGAGGCAGTGAACTGCAAACTGTTTTTCGCTCTCTGCTCCTTCTGTATTTGTTCCACCCACAAACATAAAGCATCTTAAGTTTTGCCCAAAGTTTCTTTTAATCACATCAACAAAGCTGCCAGCTCTTGTATCCCAGCAGTTTTATATTCCTGATAGAAGTGTTTATTGAGCCCATACCTGAGTGTCTCTTCACCAATTTGAACAATAAAATGAAACCGGGCATTTTATTGCTGCTAGATTGGAGCCCCTGGCAGAACGGCATTCCGGTCTCTGGCGTTAACAAACTGTCTCGTTGACGGTCTTCGCAGCAATACGCTGCTATCTGGAGTCATTGTGACACAAAAGTACCCGCTCTGGCCCTCTGGCACTTGCTTGACAAACAATCACTCAGAGGCAACTCTTGAGTAATTTGAACACTTGAAATAGCAGCTCGACAAAAGGGAAAATAGTGACAGGGATCACTCCGATTTGTTAAGCATCTATTTATTTGAAATGTTTTGCGCAGGCTAAGGTTAACTGGCAGCCCAGAGCCTGGCAGCTTCTCTCCAAATGAAATTTAATCTGACTTTGTGCAGAGAAAATGTCAGCTGGAGAGAGAAGAAGCTAAGCTTTGATTGCTGCGGTGTCAGCAGGACGACCAGACCAGAGCAACTTTTGAAGATCTGTTACGTGACTGGCTGCACCTTTGTCTGTTGTGTTTCGCATCTGCTGCATTGAGCTACACTCGATGTAGCTCTGTAACTCACCCCCTTCGACTCCTCCAGCTGCTGCAGATGGGTGTGAACGAGCGGACCTAGAGCTGCAGTGGCTGCGCTGGGATTTGTTTCAAAAGCAGTTAGGCAAGCCTCTGAGGAAAGACTGAATTTCATTTTGGGAGATACCGCAGTATTCTGCAACTTAAGTAGCCTCCAGGTGTGGAGGGTTATGTGTGTCCATCCATCCTTAATCTACACCATTTATCCTTTAAGGGTCGAGGTGAGGCTGGAGTCGACCCCTGCTGACACACAACAGCTCACATCTACACCTGTGGGTCATTTTCACGTTGAATGACAACTTGCATGTCTTTGGACTGAGGGAGGATACCGGAGAACCTTTCTCATAGCGACGCAACAGTGCTAAACTCTGCACCACCGTGCTGGGTTATGTTTCTAACCCTGGAATATAAGGATGATCAGTTTAAGCTCTGTCATTACCCAGCACAGCCAGCCACAAAGAAAGCGAATGGACATGTGAAAATGTGGATATAATAAAGAATTGGATAACATCCATTCATTATCCATACTGCTTGTCCTTGGGAGGGTTGCAGGGGGAGCTGGAGCTCATCCAGCGGACATTGGACAGGACGCCAGCATATCACCGGGCCAACATATAGAGACTAACACTGTATCACACTCACATTCAGACAATGTCACACACACACACACAAATGCAGGAGAATGTCACAAGTCACTGAGGTTGAGCTCAGCGCGTAGCCACACTGCGGTTTTGCTCGGTTACAGAATTCTGTTTCGCCTCCTTGTCTGCACTTTCGCCTGCGTATGACCGTGCCCCTATTTGCCTCCTGTCACGTATGTGTGATTGACAGTTTAGATGAACTGTACCTGGAGAGAAGCCACACACAGACCTGGGGAACAAATGCAAACTCCGCACAGGAAGACCCCCGTTTAGTCGGGATTGAAAGTAGGAACCGTCCTGCTGTGTGGCCACTGCTCTAACCACTGGTCCACTGTGCCGGATTATGTGCGTTGCCTGGTAATATGTGGGTGACATTTTAGAGTCTGTCATTACCCAGCACAGCCAGCCAGAAAAAAAATAAGTGGATGGTTGAAAGTGTGAATGAAAGTATGATAGACATACTTAAAGCTCGGTAATGTTTTGTTCAGAAGTCACCAATTTCATCTCCATGATGGCATCGAAAGACTTCTCTGAAAATGTAATAATTTCTCCTGTTCAATCTGGTTCTGTTCAGTAGATCCCTTTGTCACGTTCAGAGCAAAGAAGTGCACCAAAAGGTTTTCTCCTCTTGGTTCACACGAGGCTTCAGTTCAATCAAAAGTCCACAGCACAAACTCTGTAGAATAAATAGCCTCTTGATTAGTCAAAGTCACACTGATGAAGCCTCGTTAATTTAAAGTCGTGCCAGGAAACAATCTCTTCTCAGCCAGGAGGAGCAGGAGGAATGATTACAGCATTGAGTTATGTCTTTCCAACGTAAAGGTATGTGAGGATTGTATTAAGATAAGACTTCTAGCTAATCATGGCTTCATGAATTTATGTATTTGCTGATATGAATGTGAACCTGTGTTTGTTAGACGTGTCGGAGCTGGTGGACGACATGGCCTGTCTCTCAGACTCCACCTCTGATGAACACTCCCTGAGTTCCTACACCTCCGAGTCATTCGATGACAACGGTAAGACTCTTGAAGATAAAAAGAACCAATAGACTTCTCTCAAGTTGAAGAGTGATACTGAACTTCAGATCAGTTAAAAAAAAAAACCTAGAGGTCGTTTGTCTCCACGTTGAGTCAGAAAACTTTTTAAAATGAATAATTCTAAATAGTTTAATGGATTTTTTTGTTTTATTTATTGAGATTTTCAGGGGAAACAAACATCTCCACAGTTTCAGTTTGAGTTCAAATACTCTCTTCTGGATGACTTCCCAATAAGTAAAGACCCCTAGTAGTTGGCTGTAGTATAGGTCATAAACCCCGCCTCCTCCAAGTTATCGGATGGGACATGAACCAAGAACCGTGAACTAAAAAGTCTGAGCAGCCTGTGTTATGAACAGTCTATGATTTGTTGGCTCATGAAGGATCGTGGGTAATATTCACCTCTCAGTTGTGTTTTCCAACAATTTATTTTTCCTCTACACGATAACAACTTAATTGCTCGGACAGGGAGGCCAACAGAATAATCACCCAGCGTGAATGCAGAGGGAGCTGTTAGGTTACACACTGACGCGTTAACCATAATCTTTGTTTTTGTTCAGTATTCATTTATAGTTTCACCACGTTGCGTCTCTAAATGTTTTTCTATCCGAGAAGGAGAAATCAATCTGAAAGTTGACATTTCTCTGTATTTGGGAGTCACAAGCCAAAAACTCTGGGAACCACAGATATAGTTAAAATTCCCTAATGTGGGAACGGCCGACTTGCATGCATCTCAGCCATTAAAGGTTAATGCACAGACATTCAGAGAAAGAAAAAATCACTTTCTTCAAGTCTTTTCTTGGAATCTATAGGGTGTCTTTTTTCCCAGATCACTCAATACCATTGATCTTCCCCAGTAATCGTGTGTGTGCGCATGTGTTTCTCTGAGACGGGGGAACACATGTAGAGTCTTTGTTTCCTGTCTAATTAGTGCAACTGCGGAGAGAAGAGTCCTCTTCCCTCTCCCTAACCCTTATGGGACACGCACATGCAAACAAACGTGTTGTCTACACGTGTGCACACACACGTACACACACATTCTCTGCACTGACTCTGTTTCTCCTCTTTTCTTTCCCCTGTCCAGCTTCCATCGTGACAGTCATACGTCTAGTGAATGACGCCGTTGATGATATTGAAAGTGAAGGTATGAAAGAACATCTTCTGTTATCTCCTATTGTGTGTGTGTGTGTTTCTGTGTGTGTGTGTGTGTGTTTGTGTTTGTGTGTTTCTGTGACTGCTGGAGCCACAGTTTGTTCGCAGGGTGAAGCACTAAGACATAATGTTCAGCATTTGCCGTTCAGTCTCTTTTCTTACTTAGAATAAATCATCCCGCTTAGATTTCCGATATTTCTGTTTGTCAGCTTCTGACACTGGATCTCTCTGTGTTTCATTTTTTCCCCTTTGGTTTCTGTGTTGTTTGTCTCAGTCTCTCTCTGACTTTCACTCTCTCTCTCCCTTTGTAGTGTCAAACATGGACAAAGAACAGCAGCGGAACAGCCCTGGTGAGTGAGATGCAAAGCAACAGAAAAACATCTTATTAACTTACCGTCCCTTTGGCTTATATCTCAAAGCGGTGAATACAAAAACCCAACCTTTTGTATTCTTTACATTAGTTCCTCTGAATACTTTTTATCTCTCCCCATACAGCACAGATTACAATTTCTGCGTATGCCTCGTTTTCACGATATGTTTCCTGACGGACGTGGGTCCATTTTGAACCCGGCACAGAACAAAACATTTAAGTACGAGGCGTCTCATCGTTGTCACTTTTCATCGGTTAGAAATGATTGAATGTCTGATCTGTAGCTGATTAACATTAATTCCAGTGCAGTCCTGCAAAATCTTGGCGACAACTCAACAATAACCAAATATCATTAGATCCTCATCCAGAAAGTCTGTTGGCAGCAAAACACAATTAGGCAGATTTAAAATATCAATATGAGCACTGATTTAAAAAGAACCAATATCAGCCAGGCTCCTCTGTCATTTAATGAAAGTCTGTATTCAGCCTTGTTAAAAAACACTTCTTTTATCAGGAGTGGTCTGTGTTGTTTTAAAGACTGTGAAATGTTTTATATCTGCGAGGATTCTCGCTCAGCCAGGTCATGGTATTTTCAGGAGTTGTACATATACATAGACAACTGGACTTCAAGAAACAAAAGTAAGTCCAGTCGTCTTTGAACACGCACAACTCCTGAAGAAGTCAGAGTTAATACTCAGAATCTCTCATGTAGTGTTCATAAATATTATATCCATATTATTAATACATCTCTTCAGTTTTTGAAAACTAGCGGCTTGTGAATCTTTTGAACAAAAGTGAATCAGCTACACTTGTTATTTCAGTGTATCTGATTCCAGGACTGTAAATACAGATGGATGAAGGATCTCCACTTCTACCCGCTGTACAAAAATAAAGCCAAAATATACAGATGCTGCCATTTTGTGCTTTTGACGTGTGAAGCAGAGAAGTGATGGTTGTGTGAAACTGAGGTATCGAGGTCCTCGACCAATTCTGAGTCAGTAGTTGTTCACCCTGTGTTTATACCATCAAAAGAACTAATTCAAACATATGTCAGTGTCCAATACACTTTTTGGTCTATGTCCTATCTGCTAACCTGGAGGAGGAGGTGTGGTTGATTACGTACACTGCTTCCAGCCACCAGAGACCTAACCAGATGTTAAGGCTTCACTGTTGCAGAGCTGTCGTCCATTTTAGAAACCGTCCATGTGTCTGATATAAAGTCAGCACTTCATCTTGTTTCCAGACAGGTTGTGTTTAATTATTAAAACTGTTAATGACTAATTAGGCCTCCATGCAAAACTGCAGTGTCTCTGCTTCTTTGGCCAATAACGCTGATGAAGATCTCATTTGAATATGTTTAAATCAGTTGTTGTGTTTAATTACTTACAACTAATGAAACTGAAACAGGTTTGACAAAGGATGTGAAAGGATCTAAAGTATAAAACACAATCACATTCAAACATCAATATGAAATACCGCTTTATAATCAAATTAAAACATCAGGTGAAAGTCTTTTTTTTTTTTTAAATGAACGCAATTCTCTCGCCACAGGTAAGAATGCAACTACTGCAGATAAATAGTTAATGAGGATCATTTGATAATGCTGACATTTCAATAGCTCGGCCAACTTTGGTGCAGTGTCCCTCACTTGAAGCTCGGCGAAGCTTTCACCCCGTCCTTTCAGAGGGTCTCGGTGGATTTTAGGGCCACTTTGAACCGAGCTTGACATCCGCACAGAATAGTATAAGAGAGGGAAGCTTCAAACACTCTCTTTCTTTCTAAATGGGGCATCATTTACCGGCTTAACGAACGCACGGCTTTGCTTAAACTAATTCACCATCTAATTCTATCCCACGAAATCCAACCCTATGTTTTTATGTTGTCAGTTTGCGCCACGGTCTTAAAACCAATGTTAATTGACTCATAGTTAGCGAGTCTGTTTGTTGTCAATTGCAGTGTAATTCACTGGGTCTACCAAGCATTTCATTACTGACTCAGAGCAAAGCTGTGTTTGTGCCACAGTCACTGACAGCCCACTGAAGCACGAGGAGCTTTATTTCAGACGGGGCAGAATTAAATGATGAATGAAATTTTAATTCATTGGTCTGGTTTCAAATAACCACTTGGATTTAGTGTATTTATGTTCGTGCAGCACTTGTACAAACGTTTTGTACAAGGACGATGAGAGCGGCCGTTCTAAACAGTACTACAGATACAGGAAAAAAAGAGATGAATACAAAATACCAATTTATAAGGTTAATCATATTCCTTTTCAGTCGTCATTATCGCTGCCTGCATGCGATTACATTATGCGCTTGTGTGCATGCATACGTGAGTTTAGTGCCTCTAGTCGGGAGTTTTGTTTGTGTAGATCTGTCTGTTTACATGTAGTGGCGACTCTGCTAAATGGCTCTCTGCCAGCCTCCCCCTGCCGTATTATCGAGTGTGTTCTCTTCCATGTCCTGATTCACCGCGGCTTCTCCGCATTCACTTGTTTTCATGAGAAGAGCATTTCATCATCAAAGGCTTCCTGTCCCATGAGATATTTGTTATGTTTTCTACTTCACTGACAGCGAGTCGCCACCTGCGGAGCGAAGATGAGATTTGTGTAGAGTTCATCAAAGAATACATTTTGAATCGTAAGAAAAAAATATATTACATTGTACCTCCCTCTGCTCCTCCTCCCTCCCATTCCAGCCTTAACCATTCATTTTAAAATATTTCAACCAGAGGTATGGATATTTCGGCAGCGGCCTGGCATGCAGGGAGAACTCCCACATGTTTTGTGGTTTGCTGCCAGTCTATTAGATACCCCTGTCAACACATGTGTCATGCAGTATATACCAGGAGCTAGCACTGCTAATGAAGTGTACTCTCCATCCCACACAGAAGGTGACCCCTCTGGCTCCTCTCTCTTCATCAATATGATATATTTTCACTCACAGCTCATTATCCTAACCATGAATTATGCAACTGGCCTGCTGCAGTTTGTAGGAAGTAGTAGATTAGTTAAAAGGGGGGGGTAAGGAAATGAGAAATGAGGAAATTACGCATAATTGCACACGTAAGAGGATTTCCCCACAACACAAAAGCGACCCGAAGTAACAAGCATGTACACCCAACTACATCAACTCTGCTCCAGAAACACCAGGGGCAATGCACAACAAAGCGGGTCAACATATCCTTCACGGTCACACGATGCTGCTTATCAACTCGATAAGTTGACCCAGGCTTTCCTACTCTAGATATGAGCGCGGTGTTTACTGCGTATGACCGATCACCGACATGGACAAGTGACCTGACAGCAGAGACGCACAAACCAGGATCAAATTGTTATATTAGAAAAATAGGAGGAGAACAAGCACTTTATCCAGACTAAAGGAAACACAGCTACAGATGCTAAATGCAGGAAGAACAGCTGGTAAAAAATCTGTGACTGTGTGAATGTGTAAGTTATGGAGCCGCCCGGTGACATTTGGGAAAAAATGTACGACGTGGCCACGAGATAATAACGTTCGGGATCGAAATAAATAGTTCTGGAGATGAAACGTTTCACTTAATCACATGATAATAATCTATAATGAGCTTTAGTTTAACACACTCTGTCTGCACCGGCTCTGAGGACACACTGTGGAGTCAATAAACACATATGGAACTATTTTCTCGTGCCCTGGTGCACGGAACGTGACTGTTCGCATTTGGCATCTTGGTGACAGGATGCACATCTGGAAACAGGGAGAGATTGAGATGTACTCTGGGTGTATTAGTGGCTGGGATTGACTGAACCAACCAGACATCGCTTTAAACTTCCCTTATCCTTCCCTTTAAGGACAGTACGCACCGCAGAGTCTCAGAGAGAGAGAGGGGAGGGAGGGATGGAGGCTGTCACAAGGTAAATCTGTAAACTATCTATTCCCAATTCCCAATAAATATTTACTTTCATAGGATAAACCAACTTAAAGGGAAGGATACAAGTGTAAAACTATGACTAACACACCCACGACACCAATATCAGTAACTCCCACAGGTAAAGAAACGTAGTGTGATGCATTATGGGGCATTGTTTTGCATTGAGATATGTGGAAATGATGACATAGACAGTATTCAGTCTTTGCTGATTTGTCAGGGTTCAATCACGAGAACAACAGGCGACATCAGCCTCGGGTGCAGAAAACAAACTGGATTTGTGAATGATGACATTTATTATCTATAAAGCTTGTTTATTATGTATTTTACACCTACAGACTTTCAGGTACTGTTGCTTTAGCAGGGACCAGCAGTGATGTGAGTAAACGTGGAGATCAGGCCCTCCTGTAACTGATGCATATTTACCGGTGTCACCTCACTCACCTCCCGCAGACAGGATAGCGATGATACTCTTGTCTCAGGAGTGAAGTGATTTATTGATGTGGCACGTTTTGCCGGCCGATCCTATTCGGTAGATAATCTCATTCTCACACACACTGTGCTGTCCGGAGAGGCTGTAACACAACTAACACGTTCAAGCGAGGACTACTGTACATACATCCACAGATTTGACAGCACTCATTCGTCCAGGGAATAAAGTCTCAGGCGCCTTACACGAGATGTAAACTCAGATTCCTCTCTTACTTACTCCTCTTAACTTTTTCCATTAAAAACACACTATCTGTCTCTGAAACAGCTCCAAACTGGTTCTAAAGGTTTATTCTATGTCTTTCTTTTTTTTCCAGGGTATCTCTGGGAGTCCTCCAGCCAGAGTTCCAGCTGGTTGTCGCCATCACGCCTGCGTCCACCAGAGCTGGGATCCCACTGTGACCTCAGTGAAACCCAGCAGAACATCAGACGGGGGGGCAGCACGCGCTCCCTCCAGCTGGACTATAGAGTCGTGGGCTTCAGCGGTGACAGGGGCCGAGAGCAGGGACGGGAGAGCGGGAGGAGGACCTTCCAGTGGGAGAGGAATCAGTCGGGTGAGTGGGAGAGGAAACGCATCCTGGAGAGAGATGAAAAGAGGAGGCAGGACGCGGAAGGAACGAACACGGGCATCAGGAGCAGAGACATGGGAGGGCACCGTGACCACAGAGACCTGCAGCAGTTGCACGGCCTCGACAGCTGCGAAGGCGGCTCCTCGCCCGTTTATGAAGAGTACCAAGAGTGCAGCCACGACCCAGAGCAGAGGGAAGAATCAGAGAGCCTTTATGACACTCTACCCCCGACCAGACGGGCCTATGAAGGATACCCATCGAGCCCCCCGGGCCTCAATCTGCACCCGGCTCAACTTCTGCCCCCCCTGAGGGCGTGGGATTTACAGACAGGGGAGTGGAGAGAATCGCAGGAGGAGAATCGTGCAGGGCTCGACGCCGGCGGTCTGGCAGGTTCTGGGGACGAGCTGGAGAGACTACTGAACCTGGTGTCGCTCAGAGCCAGGAGAGCCACGCGAACAAACAGAGCGTCAACCGGATCTGAACCCACAGCAAGCTGGGATGGATTCAAATAAGCACACTAGTACTGTCAAAAACAAAAAGATTTAATATTCCTTTATATATTCCAGTGGCAGCAACCCCCAGTTCTGACTAAAGCTGACATTTATAACACTACACCAATGATCTGCCACCTAAAAATAATTAAAAGAGAATATTACCATATATACTTTTATTATCCCACATTATTATCCTGCTGTAAGCAAACGCTAATCCACCACCAATCCCCCCGGCTCTTCTCTAAACTGGAGGAAAAAAGGGGGAATATGTGCATTCTCAGAACACCTTCACCTGCGCTATGAGAGTTAGACATTGGCTGGGAATCAATGCCATTGCATTTATTATTTATAGAACCACTGGTGCGCAGCATTTATTAACAGTGTGTTTGTGTTGTAGATGATACCAGTGTTGTGTACATATGTTACTGTGCATTTCACACATTGTTCTGCTGGATCACACACACACACACATACTCGTGCAACCAAACAAGTGAATGGTGTAGTTATTAAATAAATAAGTATATGATAATAAAATGATTAAATCAAGACCCCCTGGTATCAGCTTGTGGTAATCCTAATAACATCTGTGAGGTTATGTCAGGGACGTGGGCGAATAGTTAAATAAGAAATGCATTAATTGCTTAATTAATGTGTGTGTCTGTGTGTGTGTGTGTGTGTGTGTGTGTGTGTGTGTGATCCAACAGAATAACGTGTTTTTCCTTGGAGAGAATTGTAATAATGGTGAATATGTACCTGGTGTGTTGCTGCAGGTGAGCTTTATCTCAGCGGAGACTACATGAGATAAATAATCCCCCATAAAACATTTAATCCTATCAAGTCAGTCTCCTCACGCCTCTTATATGTTTTTCTTTCCCTCCCGACTGGAATCTGGCAGATTCGTTTAGCGGAGACACGAAGGCGTGAAAAAAGAAAAAAACAAAAAAATGTTAAAAAGAAAACGTGTTGAAGAGGAGATGTTATTTTTGAATCATGTCAGATTATTTGAAAAAGGTGTTGTGATCGTGTCTTGGATTTCTTCAGCTGTATACACTGTCAACAGTTGAGTAGATTTTCAGTGTAATCTTCTCTTAATGCCTCTTTTTGTTTACCTCAGGGACAGATTTCGTTTCTGCCCTGAATAGACGTATTCAGCTTATTGTGTTTTCCACCTTTTTACCTGTGTGTGTGTGTCTGAGTTTATCTCCACCCTGACCCTGTGAGATCGCATAATGCCGACTGTGCATCTGTAAAAAGCGTGTCTGTGATTAGATAATACTTCTGCTGTCTGCGCAATCAGCCACACGTAAAAAAAAAAAAGAAAACATTCCACAGCCTGGGTTTGTGTTGGAGTAATACAACAAGCATGTCTGCAGATAATCCAAATTAATGCAGCTTTAATTACTGAACGTTGCGCGGCATGCCAGCGAGTGAGGTGACATTTCTTAATCACTTCATCTGCATCCTCAAAATTAGGCCGGTCATTAATTCTTGATTGGTGATAAAAAGTTGAAGGCAGACGACGGTCGGTTCACTGGCTCCACGTTTACTCTGACTGGAAATAACGAGACGATGCAGCGAGGGAACCTTTGCAGTTTTTGATTATTTCCTCTCAACACCCCTAACCCCCCCCCACCCCCGTGTGGAGTTGCCACAAACTTTGTCCTTGTTATCTTCAATCCCTCCACATCTTAACAGAAAGCATCCCCATGGCAACCAGACAGTCCCCTAAATGATTTTCCTTTTCCTCGTCTCATACAACAGATTTTGGACAATTAAGGGGCATGGAGGTATATATATGTGTTTGTTCTGTGTGATGCATTGTTACATCGGGGGGAGAGCTACAGCGGCCGAGACGTCTCACAGAAGTGCATTCATTGCAAACACAGATGCAAAAGACAGAAGTTGTTGTGGGTGTTGACATTTTCAGGAATGATGGAGGCCATGAAGTTAATATGTTATGTCATTCTCGTGTTTCCCCAAAACTTTATAACACCTCTGAAGAAAATGTGACATCTGCGTCACGTTCTGCAGTACGGCCTCCATGTTGCCGTCGATTAGAGGCTCATACATCCATGACTTGACAACAGCAGCAGTTTGTTGCATTGTCAAAATCCATTGATGCTCACTTCTGTTGTGGGAACATCTCTGTTGTGTGGTTTGTGTAGTTGTGTTGTGGCTTTTGCATTTACGTTTTCTGTTAATTCCCCAGTGTGAGACGTCTCCGCTACTGTAGACAGCAGAGTTGCTTGGCACGAGAAGAAGCAGGCTCCCGCTCCTTAACATATAAAATGTTAGTGTTGTCAAATTTAAAATGACTATTTGCAAAGTGTGGGTTTTAGGATACCCACCCGTCGCAGCAGTAGCTGGATTTTCAGGACACTTTGTCAGAGTAACTGTTAAATTTTTCGAACAGCGGAAATCATTTTTGAGGGAAACACTTCATGTATGTTTTAGTGCATGCCAGTTTGTGTCAGTGCAAAAGATGGAAATAGCTCATAGTCAAATGTCAGCCGGCTTGTTCCAGTTCCGTTCCCTCTCCCTGCAGAAGCCGTGAACTATAAAACACTCAGAACAGGTGCAGGGGCACAGCTCAAGAAGGAAGACGAATGCACTTAAGAATTGACGAAACTTGTCACAGTGGGAGGAGAAATTTGCAAACTTCTATTGCTAAACTTTAAGGTCTAAAAATAATCGGCTTGTTTTTGCTCCGTGGTGTGATCACAACACCTGATTTAATGTTCTGTCTGTTGCATCTTCCTGTCACAACAAGGCACCACAGAGAATAAGATTTCTATCAATTAGCATAATGTGCTAAAGATGTCTCCAGTGATGGCAGCCAGAGGTCTGGAAAAGAAGCAGGTGGCATGTCAGCTTTCTCTCAGTCTACCCTTTCATTTATGTGTTCTGTGTGTGTGTGTGTGTGTGTGTGTGTGTGTGTGTGTGTGTGTGGTGATCCTGCCTTCATTTAGGTCCTCAGAGGGAGGAAAAGAGGAGTCATTATCCGCAGGACATGCATCCTCACGGACGAAACCTTACTTAACATTACTTCTGCCTCTAGCCATTAATTTGGTGCACTCACGATCAACGAGAAGAAAATGCAAAAAGCTCACCACAGGTAGAAACAACATCCTGCTGTCTGGACAAGGGAGGGGGGGGAAAACTACAAGCAATTTATTCATCTAGATTCATATCTTATTAAATTATTCTGACAAGGATTATGTAACGTGTCCCAATAACTTATAATAACTTGGCACGCTCGTTTTTGCGGCCATCCGGCTTGTTTAAGGTATTCTGAGCATGCTGGCTGTCCCGGTGACAGACACAGGGTCACAGCAAAGGCAAATTGAGGGCGTGCGAGGGAAAGGAGAGACAGACAGAAAGAGAGAGAGTGAGGGGGGAAAAAACAAAGTGACTGTTGTGTTTATTCATCATGCATCAGAGGAGCCTGATGAGGACCTGCCAGTCCCTTTAGCTCTGCTGGCTTTTCATTGGACCATCTGGCATTTACACCATAGAGTAAGCTAAGCCACTTAAAACCTCCTTCTACTGCCTCACCCCTGGTTTTATTTATTTATTTATTTTTTAACCAGCCCTCCATCTTCTTCTTTCTGCTCCATTTTTCACAATGCCTCTTTCCTCCAGGTCTGGCTGTGGACGTGGTGCTGATGGGAAAGGGATGGACAGAAGGATGAAGGGATGTTACATAAAAGGAGGAGGGGAATGGAGGCATGAAAGATGAGTGGAGAAATGGGAAAAGTCAGAGAGGGAGTAAGAAACAGAGAGAGAGAGAGAGATTACCATTCCCTCAGTTCCTTCGTATTGAGAGGTGGCTGTGTGGGTGATTATGAATTCACGCTGTTCTCAGTAACACCAGGATTACACACCAAGCCAGACCTAATCTATGTGTCTAACATCTGCCTCTGATGACACACACACACACACACACACACACACACACACACACATACACACACACACACACACACACACACACACGCATGCACGCACGGCCACATACGTGCATGTAAACATGACCATAATGGCTATCGATGCAGTCAGTGTCTCAAGTAATTTGATCACATGAATTATTCAGGAATACTTTTACGAGCATAATCAGAAGCAAATGCCTACACTGCTCAAACGAGGCTATGTAGCGAGTGGAGGGGGGGGAGGGGGAGGGGGAAATTGAACGGGAAGGGGTCACGTCCATGTATGACGTTATGAATTCACATCAGAGAGATGCCCTCAGCCATGTGCGACTGAGCGGAGGAGGCTGTGTACCAACCCTCACCCAGCACCCACCCCCTGCAGTTTCCACAGATTATTACTAAAGCAATCCTCTGACATATGCCTGCAAAGCTGCAATGTGTGAGACAGGGACATCAGCCGCCCACACTGTGGGCTTTATTGGATTTTTTCTTATACCATAAAAGTGCATAACTGTCATTGGATTATGTCACATTAACGTGACATAATTGTACGTCTTTGATTAGACGGATATTTTCCCACGGACAGATTTTGCAAACTGCATAAAACACAGTGACCACATTTACACGGATGTCAATTTCCCCCGACCCTATGAAGATGAGGATGATGGTGTTTACAGGGGTTGCGAATAGAATATTGCACTCATATCATTACGTCCACTAAGTTTTATAATCTCAACTACGATATACCAATTTTGCATCTTTTCTTAATGATTTTGCAAAAGCCCCTTTTATTTTTCCATCTTGTTAACACCCCGGGCATGTGTCGACAAGCAGTTGGCAATTGTTGTACGCTCAAAATGCTGTGAAACCTCAAATAGGACATAATAATGCGAAAAACATGTTTTCATAATGCGACTAAGGCCAGAATACTCTCTGAGTATTATAATGTCTTAAACGGGTTAATATTTGAATATTGGTGTCAATGAGACAAAACAGAGCTGAGTCCCAGTATCTGGTGTGTGTTTATTTTACCTTCAAAAAGTCTAGGTCTGAGCTCTGACGGGCTGATTTGACAGGTGTTACTCCTGCTGGACTTTTATTACAACGCTCCCCGCTTTGTTCTGAACTTTTAACAAAATGCTGCCTTTAACGGAGGTGAGAGACAGAGTGATGGATCAGAATGTGGAGGAGAAATCTGGCCTCATCATGGACCTTGGAGCTCAGCTTGTTATCTGCCTCAGTTCTGAAGAATCGGTGAGCCGTCACCCTCAAGACTGCTGAGGCCTGATTTTGGTAAAAGAAAGGAGGTCTGCTCCATATTGTGCTTTAATCATCAGGGTTTTTTATGCTCGCCGGCAGAACAAGCATCTTAATTTGCTGAAGTTGCGACAACTTTGAGACTTTTATCTCTTTTATGTTCCTTGTTAAACTGTGTCACATGTGATATCCTGGGGTTGTAACCTGCACAGACCATCTAATGTGGATTGTTTCACAAACACACAGCAGACGAGAGGAGACCACAAACATCTAAATTAAATTCTTGTCATTACACCTGAAATACACTTAAAAGTACAATTATTTTACTGCAGATGAACCAATGAGATCTACAACTTTGTCCTAACAATCTTCTTTACCCCAAGTGAAAAGGTTAGTCAGGGATTTGCAAT